CTAGCCTCTTTAAGCCACATCCTGTCTACATACACATTATTGCAAAGGACCGGATTCCTCATGGTGACAATGGTGGGCCATGCCTACACAATGTCTAGCGACATCGGTGCTTGTACTCTCCACTATGGTGCATGTGACAGGTTGACAAGGCTGGAGCTCAATTAGGAGACAGCAGTCCCCCCAATGTAGAAGATGCTGGAAAATGGACCTTCATGGTGGGATCACTTGCTATTATCTTAGCATCATTAAAAGATTAAAAACTATTTTTGAAATCGCATTCGCATGTTAAAGCTTATAAGAGATTTTAGTGATTGGCTTATTATTGTTAGTCATTACACTTCTTAAGGAACTACCCAAGACCTTTTTATCCTTTATTACCTTTTTTATGTGTCTAAAGGAAGTACTACTATAAGAAGCCAATTACTGTGAGTGGGACTGACAGCACTAGGAACCAATCAGTTGTACTGCGTGCATTAGAGCTGCAGCTAACGATTATTTTCAAAATCGATTAGTTAGCCGATTATTAAGTTCGATTAATCGGTTAATCGGATAAAAAATACATTTTAAAAAATGGCTCCAGTGATGGGACTTCTTGTTTGTATTGAGATTGCAGCAAGCTTGGAGCGGTGGAAGTAAAAAAGAAAAAAAAAGTGTGGTGTACAATATAGTGAAATGAAAAGTGTAAAATTATACAGCAATGAATGCAGAATGGCACCGGCTATAGAGGACTACAAAACCCAGCAAAAGCACATTATACAGCACAATGCAGAATACCGCCAGCTATAGAGGAATACAACAAATCCCAGCAATAGTACATAATAGCTGGCGGCATTCTGCATTGCGCTGTATAATGTACTATTGCTGGGTTTTGTAGTCCTCTATAGCTGGTGGTATTTAGCATTGTACCACTTTATAATGTATTATTGCTGGGATTTGTTGTACTCCTCTATAGCTGGTGGTATTCTGCATTGCGCTGTATAATGTATTATTGCTGGGACTTGTAGTCCTCTATACAGCGCAATGCAGAATATCACCAGCTATAGAGGAGTACAACAAATCCCAGCAATACATTATACATACAGTGTATAATGTATTGCTGGGATTTGTATTCCTATGTATAATATACAGCACAATGTACCATCAGCTATAGAGGAATACAAATCCCAGCAATACATTATAGAGCACCATGTGTGGGAAAGTGCAGGCTTACCTGAGCAGTCTTCCAGCAACTTGCTTCTGAGATCGGGCCTGTCTATCGGCGGCTGTCATCCGCCCACACCTGCTCCTCCTTACTTCATCTCCCCGCGTCCCTGTGCCGATCGTGGATTTGGGCAGGCGGTGAGTGTGAGGCACGGAGGAGGTGCGGAGCGTGGATGCGGGCAGGTCTGGCAGCGGCGAGCGTGAGGTGGGGAGGAGGTGTGGCGCGCAGCGTGTGTGGAGCCGTGAACAGGGCCAACCAATCAGAAGCCGATTAATCGATTATTGAAAAAGTTGACAACTTTTTCAATAATCGATTATAATCGATTATGTCGATTAGTTGTTGCAGCCCTAGCGTGCATACATGCTGGCAAAGAACATGCTGACAGAAGAAGAGGAGAAAGCAATGACCTAAATCAGTATTCTGCTGCTGCTGTATCACTATCTAAATTACAGTCTGAGCACAGGAAAGTTAAGCAGACTGTATTGATACCAGCAGAGAAGATCATTTAGTCTACAAGCCTGGTTAGACTGTCTTGCAGGGCTCTATAGAGAATACAAATCATTTGGTAGATAGTATAGCTACTATATATGCATTGCAACTGTGGGCTGTAAGGGGGCTTAAAAACTCTGCCATACAATACTTGTCTTTGTCCACATTGGGAAGATTTCCCCTCACTTACTGTCCCTGTGAGACCCCAATACACAGGGTTTTACCAACATAGGAAGCAAGGAAAAATCTCCTCAATGGTGATGGCAGCAACAAGAAAATGATTGGCACTTTGCTTTTGTAAACACCACTCCCTTCGCAAACAGGAAATTAACATTTTTAATGCCTAATTATTCAGATATCATTAGCACATAAAATATAATATGTGTAGAATTCCTAGACCTGCCCTGTGGATTTGTATAATATGGCATTTTTTCGGTGTTGAGATCTGTGGTAGCGGGGAGACCAGAAGAGTGCTTTCTATAAGAACACTAAGATAAATTATACAGGGTACCATGATACCTGCACTGCCAGAACCAGAACTCTAGACAATACAGATACAGACATTCCTCGGTTACTGACTTACCTGCTTTGCGACCACTCGCACTTACGGCGGACTGCCGAGCGACCTCGCGCGTTAGTGCGACGTGTCGCCCGCGGAAGTGACATCCTCCGATCTTCACTGCGGGTCCCGGTAAGTATTTTCATTGCCCGATGTACAGTACTGTTCGGTACTGTACATCTGCAACGCTATACAGTACTATACTAATGCAGTACAGTACTGTATAGAGTTCCTCACTTAACGACCAATTTGTTTAACGACCTGGTCGTAGGAACGGAACTCGGTCGTTAAGTGAGGAATACCTGTATATCCATTACACTGGTTTCTGCTAGTTAATTTATTAGGTCTTTCTTTCTTTCACATTTTCATAGTTTTCTGCTCTGTCTATTGTACCTTCACTTTTATGTATTATTTGTTTTCTCTGATCTTTTATATTGAATCTTTCCGTGGGGAATTATTTTTATATTGGCTGCAAGGAGCACTAATGTGAAAGAACCAAATTTGTGAAACGTTACCAGTCTGTAACCATCACCTGCAGCATGTCCCACATCTTTGGTCATCTCCTGAAGCATGTCCCCATTCTTCAGCTCTCTCCTGCAACATGCCGCCTTTCTTTAGCCATCTTCTGCAGCATGCTACCAGCCTCTGGCTGCCTCCAGCAGCAAGCCCCCAGTCTCTGGTTGTCTCCTGCAGCAAGTCTCTGGCCAGATCCTGCAGCGTGTCTGCAACCTCTGGACATCACTTGCAAAATGTCTGCTCCCCACAGGGATTCGCCCCTCCGATCCTCCAGCGCTGACTGGAGTAACAGATGGGGGAGGGGCGGGCACAGCTGGCTCTGCCTCTAGATAGGCAGAGCCCACTATCAATCAGCCAGCTGGGTGGATCTCAACAGTATTGGGAGCTATATATATGTCCTCCTGTGACCCTAAAGAGAACTATGGGATAAAACGTTTACCCCATAGTTTTCACTTAACTGGGTAATGATGGAGTTAATAGTAAATGACAAAGATGCACTCACAAGAGGAAACAAAGAACTAATCAATTCTGTATACAATTATTAGGTCTTTCTTTCTTCCACATTTTCATAGTTTTCTGCTCTGTCTATTGTACCTTCACTTTTATGTTTTATTTGTTTTCTCTGATCTTTTATATTGAATCTTTCCATGGGGAATTATTTTTATATTGGATCTTCTTTCAGCTGTTTTGTGTGGCTTAGTGGTGACTCGAGGCTGGAACTATCAGATCATGTCGTAGGCCATACCTGAGGCCTTCTATAGCTCAGTAAGTTAAAGCTCAACGTCACCTTTAAAAAAAGTATATATGCTTATATTAGTCCAGCCTGGCACAATGTAAGTATATATAAATGATCCCTGGCAGGGCCACAGCTACTACAGTGTATTACAGCTTCGGGGTCCAACAACAGCTGCTGTCCGGAACGGCTTCCTGATACTTGGTATCAGTCTCTTGCATTCAACTGTACAGTCTGCACTGCAGAGCTCAAAGTGATAATTGGCTCATTCTGCTGCTTCGCCATCTAGGTGTGCTGCAGTGCATCTGATAAATCAGGCAAAAACTGTTATATTACAAAAAAGGAACACTGGTGGACAAATCCCGGTTTCAAGGTGCCACACCCCGATTTCTATCAGAGAAAAAGAGCACAGAGGAAAGTGGGGTTTTTAAGGCACCAAAAAAATGACAAGTCACAAGATTTCAAAATTGATTAAAAGTGTTATTTTATTCATTCATGATTAAAAAGATAAGAGATGGCCATAATAAAAAAAACGAATTAAAAAAGGTAGAAGCCTCCAATGTCCACCCTGTTTCAGAGTCTAGATAATTAAGGCATGATTGAAATTCATAAATATATCATACAGGATGACATGATAATAAATACATCACGGAAAATACATGGTAGACATAATTGGTATCAACAAATCACAGCCTTAGCTGGAACACAAGGAGTGGACAATAGTAAGTATTCAACCCGTTTCACGCATATACTGCTCTTCATCAGGAGAGGAGGCAATCAACCCCATGCAGAGACAGTGGATGCATGCCTTTTGTGGTAACCAAACAAACCACCAAAGGATGGGTCCCCCCAGATGGTGGGAGAGACCACCAAGACAGCAGCGACTGGGTAGGAAGGTTAATTCATTAGGGACGAAGACGTATGCCTCAGGATCACCGATTCATCTGTCTTCCACTGATATACAAGAATCCCAAAGTAACACCGGGAGTGGGGGGGGGAGGGGGAGGTGCTGGGAGGAGAGAGACAGATGACACCCCGCGTCGCACGGTACTCTAGGTCTTAGCCCACATAGACAAGCCGCTGGTGTGTGCCCAGCCGTCCCTTGCCATGCACTGTGACATTGGAGGCTTCTACCTTAGTTTTTTTTAGTTTTATTATGGCCGTCTCTTATCTTTTTAATCATGAATAAAATAACTTTTAATCAATCTTTTCTCAAAAAACGTTATATATGTGCAGGTGATAAATGTAAAGATTAACTTTGTTATTGAAAGGGTTAATGTATGGTAAGGGCATGCAAATACAGCAAAAACTGATTGCCAAGAACGATTGTTCAGGTCTTCCAAATGGTTTACAAAAGAGCACCATCATCAATCTGATTTTTATAATGTTCATGCAGTTCTAGGAGAAAGGTACTGGCTATAGAACAAAATTATTTTTTCTGGCAAAAGATTTGGCCCAAAAAAACCTCAGATATTTTTAGAACAACCATAAGAAATACATACTTGATCCATGGCAATTGCAATCTTCAGACGACGTCCTCTACCAAAGGTAAAACGATGATCCACTTCTTCCATGGTTAAATTAGGCACTTTGCTTGCCACCAGTATGCAGTCTTGGCCGACCTTTTTATTGACTTCTTTCTTGTCCTACAAAAGAGAAAACCACAGCAGAAACTAATGGGGTAAAAAAAAAAAAAATGAATGTGAGGTGTCAAGAAGGAACAAGCAATCAGTGACAAGAAGGATTAGCAAGGGGCTTAGAACACAAAGGAGCCATCAGCTGATTTGTGTAAATCAGAGGCAGAGATGAATGTTCTGTTAAAGTCTACGTAGGGATATTGCCTACACAGATAGGAGATTTTTAAAGCTTTCTTTTTATATGTGTCCATCTTATGAATAAAGAAAGGAGAGAGAAGACCTTTAAATATTTCTGCACTAAAATCACAAACCTCAAAAAGATACACAAGATCCCAGAAGGGAACACTACCACCACACCCAGTGTTTTTGTCCTGACATGTCACATTCATCAAGTCGTCTACCAATACTAGAATCTGCTTTTAACTTCCTTCTTCTGTTCCGCCAAGCTGACAAATATCACTCCAATCATATACACGACAACACGCCATTACACTCTAGGGTATCTATTCACATCCAGATAAAAGATTTTATAGTGTGATTGTACATTCTCTGCACAAGTAAGGTGTGGTGCTATGGTATTGTGGCATTGGAATGTCTTAGGCCTAAGAACACCAAAATCCAACCCTGTAGGAAGGTCTGGAATTCTCATCTTTTCTGTTGCCCTGCGATCTTGAAGGGTTTAGGGGGAAAAAAACGTAATGTACCTCAATAAACACAACAGCAGCACAAATAAAGAGTCATACCACAATCAAGACATCACACATTCAATGCAACATTTAGAAAAAAACAACATGCATCTATTAGCATTACATTATAATTTCTTCAACATCAATGAAAAGAGAATATTGCAGCTGACCTCAACTTTACTGTCCATTGTAACAGCCAGCTGCATTTCTTTTCCCACACGCACAGTGAACTTCTGCTCATATTCGCTGTCACAGCTATTCCAGTTCTCACTTACAATTCTTTTTTCCTAGAAAACCAGAATAACCTAAAAATTAGGTCTCTAAACAAGTTGTCTTCCATTTTTACAACAGTAAATATACAGGATTGATCGGAGCGCCATGTAGCATTTATTTTTCTTTGTGATTTAGGCCTAGAACGAGAGAAAGGAATCAATACTGAAACTCTGCAAAAGAAAAAAGTCACAATGTTCTTGCATGTACTTCGGGGAGCGGTAATAGCTGGAAATTGCCTGGTTTGCTGGAGTGGCAAGTAAAGGGTGCAATTCCACTCCAACAGGACAGTGCAGAATTTAGCACGATTCCAGGCAAACAAGGGATATGTGTTCACCAAGATAAGACTGCAAACTTCAGGAAAAGACAGCAACTGTTAAGCTGTGAGGGTCACACTGAGTCTAATCTGCTTTGCATACAGGATACTTGGTGAGGTGTTAGGCATGGATACCCAACTTCCGCTAAAGGAACTGCTTTCCAACTTTTATTGCATAGTAGAAGTCTTAAAACTTACTGTCTATTGGGCAGGTTTTAAAGAGAAACAAAAGATAATGGAAAATTGGCCACTTCTAGTGAATTTAAGGGGTGTCAGACAGGACAGAAAGTGAGGGAAAAATCATGGAAAATATAGATACAGGCATCAATGAAAAGACATGTTCTAGTACAAGCAGGAAGGTTTTGAATCTCTATTAGGATTTTAATCCCGTCCATGTCCCTATGAGGGAGGTTTTCCCTCACTTCCTGTCTAGGTAACAGTTATCAGACAGAACAGAAGAGAGAAGAGAAATCTGGTCTATGGGAACACATATTTTAGTTCTAACTTTCATCATTCTATTCAAAACTAAAATACAAAGTTTTTATTGGAGTTAGGTGTTATGGCTGTATGTGTACTTAAAAGGCAAACAAGGTAGGATTTTATTTGTTTTGTTCTCATTTGCATGACTTGTTAATAAAATGTACCGTGGTCAGTTTCCTCAAAAGCAGGGACTCCATTTTCTGCCATTTGTCTGTCTACTCCAGAAGACAATGTTCCCACTAACTCACAATAATACAATTATCAAAACTGGAGCAGACAAAAACTGGTGCAACTGCGTGTGGCAACCAATCAGCTTCTCTCATCAATTTGTTCAGTTAAGATTTGAAAATGAATAAGAGAAGCTGATTGGTTGCCATGCACAGCTGATCCAGATTTTGTCTGCTCCAGTTTTGATAAATTCCCTTCAATATGTTTTCCTTATAATGTCATCCTTTCCTCCCATTTACTGTTACTTTTTTGCCAATGTAGTTGATCTGTTTAAAAAAAAAAAAAAAAAAGCCTTCTATGCTAGTTGTCGTTGCCTATAATCACTACAGCCACTTATCCAAAAAGAGGGATCATCCCACTAATGCTAGCCAAAAAAAAAGCTAGTAGCCACCAGGGCAACATCTTTTCTAAAAAGCAAAAAAAAAAAAAAGGATTTATTGATTTTATGAAAAATAAAGAGTATATCATTCTTTATGAAGAACTTGATTCTGCATGGTGGCACAGTTGCCTACTAGACAACCCAGAAATACCACTGCCATTTATAGAGAATAACAAAGAAGAGTTATCAGGGATATCTGGTATTTGGGGGGCTATGTTCAGTGGGCTTTTTTAGAAGCACAAGAACCAGAAAGATAAAGTTTGTCAAATACTCATGTTTGAAAGAAATTTAGATATATTTTCTGGGTGGAGTGGGTGAAGCAAGGGCTAAAAGATCTTGCCCCAAATAAGGCCCAGGAGGTCATATAAGGCCCAATGTATCATATGTTTGCTTTTGCCTTCCTGAGACCAGATATCAGGGCAGAAGGAATATCATTTCCAGCCAAGCTGTCTTTTATGCATTCTGAAAAGCCATACAACCACAAAATAATCCTTTTTCAAAGTCCTATACTAGACAGGAGTGCAAAAATGACCACTCAGTGTCAACATTTGAGGCACCAGTTGCAGTGGCAAAATTTGTAAAGGAGCAGAAAAAACATCCTAAAAGCAGCAAGATGAGAAACTGAGTGATCACCCTTCTCTCAAAGCAGGGTACCCAGTTGGGAGAATAACTAGAAAGCAGACAAATAATATATGCCAATTTACCCAGTCTAAAGAAAATATACTATGCTTTGCAATCTCTGTAGTTTTGTAATAAATGGTGCAGCAAAAATGATGCTTCAGGAAAGGCAGCCACAGGGGCTCAAATAGAAGGCATTGGAGAAGGAATCCTTATAGAGGTTACCACAACAACTTGAAGCTGACCCAAGCCAACAGAAAGTGCCTGGAGAAACTTAGGATAGATATCGGTACACAAGCAGGTTCAGACCTATGCAAAACTGTTAGGAGAAAGCATAAATATTCTGTGTCACCAGTGACAGGCATAGGCTTTATAGAGGTTCAGTTTCTAGGCAGTATCTGTTCTTCAGCAGAAATACCTTCTGTTCTTCAGCAGAAATACCTTCCTAGAGGTATACATTTGGTTGTGTGATGTTCCCAATTCATAGTTGCCAAATGTTCTCTCATAACAAACAATACACAGACCTTTATGGAATGGGAAATGTGCAATGTCTTGTCCCTTGCACAATTGAAAACTATTTTAAACACACCTTCAAATATATTTTTATGGGTGGATACTAGCCGTTTGAACCACCCTTTGACTTTCGATATCGCGGGAATTACCGTGCGATAAATCGCTCAGTGTGAACGGGGCCTAAAGGTGGCCATAAGAAGCGAACGATAATCGCAAGGTGTTTGGGCACCTTAAATGAGAACTATGAGGTGAGTGCTTTTCACTCACCTCATAGTTCTAGCCGACCTGTGACAATGAAACTGTCACAGGTCGGCTCAGTAGATCGGGAGCTGAGCGAACACATACCGGCGTTCTCTCACCTCTCGATCCTGTCACGGCTCTCTGCCGTGACAGGGGAGTGGCTGGATTCCCCCCTCCCCGTTCCAATCCGCCAGCTCTGACTGGCGGAACGGACGGGGGAGGGTACAGCTGGCTCTGCCTCTAGATAGGCAGAGCCAGCTGTCAGTCACTCAGCTGGGCGGATCCAGACATAATTGTCGGGATCCGCTTCAGCTGCGGCGTCTTAGTATACCGCGAGCTACAGCTTGCGGTATACTGAGCCTAGGGTAACGGGAGGACGCTAGTTTGTGTCCTCCTGTTACCCTAAGGAGAACTATGGGGAAAAGCCCTAACCCCATAGTTCTCCTTTAATAGAAACTGAGACACACTTTTAATAGTCATGCCTGGTGGGAAGACTGCAATACAGAGATTCTATAACACCGTACTTGAGGTACATGCAACTATTAGATAATGGAGCACACAGACATCTACCACAAAATGTAATTGGACACTTAATGTACAACTACCTTTAGGTAAACATAGAACATTCAATATATTACTTTATTACATGTTTGAAGGATTATGGCTTTTACATACAGTATATAAACACAGGGGTCTCTTTCAGTACTATTTGCTAAATTATGCTTCCTTACAGGTAATCTAATGGCAAGAAGTGAATTAGTCTTACATTAGGTGCCTTCGTTATAGTGATTGTGAGGTTTTCTTGTTTAGCCCAGTGAGGGGTAATGGCCTTGCTTTGTTTCTCAGCATTCCGTTTGTCTTCTTCAATTTCCTGCGTCAAGAAAATCTTGTTATCTGGGCATGTACTATAGTACTTCAAAATGGGGTTACACATCATACAGCTGGATGCCAGCAAAATACATTTATTTGAAAATCATAGATCAGTTGAAAATGTCCTTTTAGTATTTGTTTTTAAAGGGAAAACTAAGAAGTCAATACATAACTATACATACACTCCATTGCTATACATAACAAGGTTCAAACTGTGGAGGAAGTCTCTTAGCACAAATGTCTAGCAATCCTATGTGGTAGGGACGCACCGATACAGGTTTTTCAGTATCGAGTGCCGATATTTTATTTTTGGTACTTGCCGATACGGAATACCAATACTCCCATTAAGGAAGCTGGGCGGCGTGCAATGACTCGCCGCCCAGCTTCCTGATTAGCTGGGAAGTCAGGCAGCGAGTGATTAACCGCCCTGCCTCTTCCCGATTAGCCAGGAATCCGGCTCCACGCTCCCTCGTCACCAGGAGACGAGGAAGCATAGAGTCGGCTTTCTGGCCAGGAAGCGGGTAATGACCCACTGCCTGGCTTCCCGATTGGTCGGGAAGTTGGCCAATCAGGAAGCCGGGCAGCAAGTCATTACACAATCGCCCGGCTTCTTGATTGGCCTTGAAGCCCGCTCCATGCTCCCTCGTCACCAGGTAATGAGGAAGCATGGAGCCAGCTTCCTGACCAATCAGAAAGCTAGGCAGCAAGTCATTACTCGCCGTCCGGCTTCCTGATTGGCCAGGAAGCCTGTCCCATGCTTTTTCCAGGAAGCCGAGCGGTGTGTAATGACTCGCCGCCCGGCTTCCAAATACCGGAAGTTCCTGTATTGTGATAAGCATTGGGTCATTAAGAATACTCGCCCACATACTCGGTATCGATACCGATACTGGCATCGGTATATCCCTACTATGTGGGGTCCACTGCACACAGGCACACCCAGCCAATTTGCAGGCTTGGCAAGGACATTCACTAGAAATTGGAAAGTGAAGCAGTTTAGTTGAGGTATGTGGTGCTGGGAATGGAGATCCAGAGTAGACCCATCAACCACCCATCCCTGATGTCCGTCTACTACATGCAGCACTCACCTGTGAATAGAGCTACAAGTGGTGGTGGTGACCAGTCACCCTGCTTATAGCAAGCAGGCAGCAGTGATCTGTCTTTTTTTTTTAAAAGAGTATAGGCCTCTCTAGTGGCACTAATGTGGCTTGGTATGACAATTGTACACCACTGGGATATTGCACAACAGTAACAAACATGAAACTTTGAAAGATGCCTACTCTACATAAGTATTGGTTTTATTTTCTGCCTACAATTAAGCTTTAAGAAAACCGTTTTCTACACTGATTAATCCTGATAGAACAATAAGAAATTCTAAAGTATAGCCAGCTTTATATGGAATAATGGCTCGTCTTTAAAATACTGGACACCGGGAGCAACATTGTGATTGCATCTATTGTAATGGAATTGGCTGGGCCGGTTGCTTCATTAGAGCCAAGCACGGCACAATAAATGCCTAATATTGCTGTAATTATTGTGGTACCAGTATGCAGTCATTTACAAAATACTGTATATTGACAGAAAATACATACACGTCACCTGTTTATCTATCCCATATAACTAAGGAATATTGGTTTATTGAAAATATTAAACTCCAAACAGCTTTTTTTCACAGGTTTGGTAATAACTTACTTCAGTGGTTCTCAACCTTTCTAGGGCTGGGACCCCTTGGTAACATTTGCCAAGTTGTGGTGACCCCCAGCGGTAAAATTTAGGGATGATGCGGCTGCTGCCGCGACATCTGGCGGCGTGGCGGGGGGACTGACACTGCTGCGCTAGGAGAGGGCTGAGGAGGACTCTCACCTAGTACAGCAGAAATCACACAGCGACCCACAGGTTGAGAACCACTGCTTAAAGGAGACAACGAATCCCAGAGGAATACAACAAATGGCAGCAATAGTCCATTATGCTATAATGGACTACTGCTGGGATTTGTAGTCCTCTGTAGCTGGTGTTCTTCTGCGTTGCGCTGTAGAATGTATTATTGCTGGGATTTGTAGTCCTCTGTAGCTGCTGGTATTCTGCAGTGTGCTGTATAATGATTATACGGCGCAACGCAGAATAACGCCAGCTACAGAGGGATACTGAGTATTTGGACGAGTACTCGTTCTCGCCCAAATGCTCCGATACCTTTCCCGATACTAGAACTTCTGGTCAGAGGAAGATTTCCTCTGACTGGCAGTGCCGCGAGGAAAGATGGAGCCGGTAAGCTGGCTCCATGCTGTTTGGCTGACTTGATGCTGATTGGCCGGGAAGCCGGCTTCCCAGCCAATCAGTGTCAAGCCGGGCAAACAAATCTGATAATATAGCCACACGACCCCCACCCTGCAGGTACCTAATTCCCCTCACATAGGTCCTTAACATTCTTTAACGTACCAGTTCCTTGGCCAGATCTGCCGTGTCCTGTGTGCACACTGTACAACGCTCACGTGATCAGCGTTCAGCCTGCTACTGTGCATGCACAGGATTTCTGAATGAGAGCACTGGGCAGTCTGCGCATGCACAGTAGCAGGCTGAGCACCGATCATGTGGGCGCTGTACACAGGAGACGTGGGCATATCTTGGAGATCGGTGTCTGCCCACTTGGAGAGCGCTGGCCGAGGGACTGGTACGTTAATGAATGCGATACGGATCTATGTGAGGGGAATTAGGTGCAGGGTCATGTCACCATATTGTCAGATCTGTTTGGCCGGCCTCGATGCCGATTTGGCTGGGAAGCCGGCTTCCCGACCAATCAGCATCCAGCCGGCCTGCGGTCAGAAAAAAAACCCAAAACCAGCAGAGAAAGGTTTGCTCTGTTCCATCAAACAGAGCAAACCTCTCCGGGAGAAAGTTTAGGCGACCCCCGGCAAATAGTCATTCGACCCCCACGTTGAGAACCGCTGACTTACTTCGTATCGGCGGATAAGGGCTTCATTCTTCTTTTTTAAAGCTTTTATCTTTTTATCTAACTCAAAATCTTTCAGCTCTTTTTTTCTGAATTCCTCATCAGATAGCGAGACCTGCTAATAAAACAACAATATGGCAGTATATAAAAACAAAAGCTGATCAGACAAGTAATAAAGCTGGATTTAAACATGGATTAATAGCAGTTCATCAAAGCAACTCTGTCGCCACAAAACAAAATAATAAGAAAAGGTCTCCGTGCAAAGAACATTTGACACACCCCGAAATATGTTGGATGCTAAAGATTCTTCCTCAAAAGAGCAAAGATCTAAAGCACGCGTGGCTTTTGTTATACAACAACTGTCACTTTAAAGCGGACCAAATCCTGAAATTCATGTCTCACTTGAATCCGTGCCAGCATTACTAAATCGTAATATTATTCCTTGTCAAAATACAGTTCTTTATTGATGTGCTTCAAAGCGCCCTCATTTATCCTACAGCTCAGCTAACAATCCTAGCGGTATTTGGCTACTAGAGAATTGAGTTTTATCCCATCACTGGAGACTACAGATGTCTAATTTTCCAGTCAGACAAACCCCTTCTCATAGACTTCCAGTGAGATAAGAGCAACAGCAAAAAAGAAAAAAAAAATATATAGGATGTTTGTACTTACCGCAAAAAAAATGTTCTTGCAATCCACTGAAGAACACAGGTCTCTCCCCTCTTTGTTTATGGCCATTGGTTTGGGCACAGTGTTGCTACTGAACTGAAGCATGCTGGTCAATGGGAGGGGTTATACTCGGGGCATGCCTACAGTTTTTTGTTTGCCAGTGCCTTATTCTCCTGCAGATGTCAGTGCAACTCAGATGTTCAAGAAACCTGAGTCCCTCAATGAAGAAAAGGATTTTTCAGCAAGTACAAAAACCCTATTTTTCTCTTTCCTCCATTGAGGGACACAGGATTCTTGAAGATCTGGGACATCCAAAAGCAGTCTGAGGGTTGGGCAGCACAGCAACAAATGCTTAGAGATCCAACAACTAGAGCAAGCAAATTAAACAGTATTTCACGAGGAGAAAGCACTGTTCTTTTTTGTATGTGCTGTGAGGTTCCCCAACCTGTCTTGGAACAGCAGCTCCCTCTGTGCGATGATATTTCATTTTGGATTACCCCCTCCATGTGTCACTTAGAGACCCCATCAAGCGCTGACAGATTGGAAAAAAACAGTTCATAAGTTCATATATCGAGCCACCTGTAAAATGTCACATCTGAAGCTGGCAGAGGGAGAGCATAAAATGTCCTCCCACTGAAACTTGCAGAAAGTGTTAACAGAAGGCCAGGTGGCAGTGTGGTCCAGTGTTGAAGAGACAACAAGAGCCCCCTAAGTTCCAAGATGTAGATTGGAAGATAAAATTCCTCCGACGACCAAGTTCCTTGCACTGACAAGTGTCAAGGAGTCCTTGCGACAATAATAATGGAGGTCTGACGAACCCCAAACTATGGGGGGGGGGGAGATGTAATGAACACTATACCACCCTCAGTTTCCCTGAAAAGTTACAGGTCAGTAATAAAAATGATCAAATTTAAATCTCATGTCTGTAGTGGGAAGCCAGGGAGAGTCAGACATGTAACTCACAAAACCTGGGCAGATGGATAGCATGCTATACAAGTAACAAGGTCCTTTAATCCTTTTGTATGGTATTAGACTTTCTTCCCACATGTTGTAAAGCGCTGCACAAACTGTTGGTACTATATAAATCCTGTATAATAATAATACATGCCAAAAATGACCAAATGTCACTGCAGTGGGGCAGCATGAATGAACCAAAGACCTGTGTTCCAAGTGGCTCTGGAGCAGGAGCAGCACCAACAGGGAGGTGCTTCCTCATCGCCTGCTGGCAGGAAAGAGAGCACAGAGTCTGCACATGTGACATTATGGCATCGGCACTCTGTCCCAGTAGCAGCACCCCAAAAACAAACAAGAAACATTTTAACAAAATACTTCTAAACATCACTTACCATCTGCTTCTGCTGTCCATCCTCCATTGAAAATTTCTCAGATTCCATACTGCAACAAAAATATTTTAATTACATTTTTCTTATTTCTTGACAATTCTAATTTCTTATCACGTATTTATTTCTTAAAACATCTTCCTTTAACTTTACTCAGAAAAGAAAGCATACATGACATTCTAACCCTTGCTCCTTCATGCCAGCCTTGTCACAAAATGATTCTTTTACTTGTATTCAAAACCAAACCAGGAAAATATTTTCGTTTACAAAATGTCTTAAATGAAACTGTACAGCAAACAAGCTGTTTGTGCAAGGTTAATGTGTTGGCCAATATATCGTTCTCCTACTCAAATGCAAAACAAGTAGAAATCCCTTGCCTTTTTAGTACAGATACATTTGTAGATTCCAGCCAAACAACTTAATACACAGTTGAGGAGATATATATGAACTAGAAATGCATCAAGATGAAATTTTAAAACCGAAAATAAAAAAAATCAGGCTGCAAGCGAATTATTTTTTAACTTTACTTTTAAACAGACCCCTGATATTTCCCTTTTAAAATAGAAAGTGATTGAGGACACAGGAGTCCACAATCTCTTTTTTCTGCAGCTCCTGTTATAAATGAACAGGAAGCCTCTATACTGAGTGTTCCTGTTAATTCATAACTTGTTGAGATAGTATGTTTACTATGTCCACAAACATGAATGAACAGGAAATGATGTAGATCACTTCCTGTCCATTCATAATTGGGGACACAATAAACATACGGAGGGAAAATGATCAAAACTGGAGCAGACAGCATCTGGAGCGGCGGTGCGTGGCAACCAATCAGCTTCTCTCTTTCATTTTCAAATCTTAACTGAATAAACTAAAGTGAGAAGCTGATTCTTTCTGCTCCAGTTTATTGTATTTATTAATTTTTATTGGATGCATTAGTAACATATTGAAATTATTTTAAAGCAAATAAAGAATATATTACAACAATAAAATACACTGGACAAAGATTTTGTTTCTTGAACGTTTCTCTGTGTATCTTATAACTTCTGAGCTGCTAAACACAAAAATAAAGTGTAATTTAACCCATCACTATAATTTGTTTGAAATCTTTTTTTAAAAATTTTCTTGTCAATTTAAGTTTACTAATTTTTGACTGTTTTATGATGCTTTGTGTAGCTCATACATGTCCAGGCATACACACAGGGCTGGTGGCAGAACGTTTGTGGAACTTGCATAGGTTGGGCATGCCTGGGAATGCTTACGCTCAGTGTATGCTGCTGTAAGGGCTAAAGGCAGCGCGCAACAGAACAACTGGGCCTAACCCAGTTACAAACTTGTAGTATGGTTGCTGACATCAAAAATGTGTACTAAACAAAACAAAGAATGGCCATTTCTTTTGTTTCTTATACTAATTAGGGGTGTGGTGCCACCCACTTGCCTCACACTCCCTTCTTTCGAATTGTTCAGTGACATCAAAAATGTCTCACTAACGTCAAAACAGTTGTGACACATTCTGCTACATTTGTGGCGACTATACACCTAAGTTTCAAAGATGCACCATTACTAGACTTGTTAGGAAAGTGTATGAACTATACATTGGTTTTAAGATTGGTGATCAGGACAAGGCATGGGCTCCTTATATTTCTTGTGCAAGAAGTGCTGTCGATCGGAGTGCTAGGCTCAGAGGAACTCTGAAGTCAATGCCGTTTGTTGTCCCAATGATTTGGCGAGGACAGAAGGATCGCGTAACGGACTATTTCTTCTGTCTGACTAATGTCCCCGGTTTCTCTGCTAAAAATAGGAAATCAATTGAGTATGCCAATCTGCCTCCAGCCATTAGACTAGTGCCACATGATGACAGCCTGACAGTACCAGATAAATGGAGCTTTGACGAAACCGATAAAGATGCTGAAATGCACCAACCAGGTGCAGACAGTGACAACGATCCAGATTTTAAATCGTGTATTTTGTTTTTTTTCTCATAACGCGGTCAGAATTAAACGACTTGTTCAGAGTCTTGGGTTTGTCAAAAGCAGAACTACTGGGTTCAAGACTGCAAGGATTGTGTCTGCTATCACTAGGTATGACAATTTCGCTTTCAAAGCTGCCAAGATGATCTAAAAAGTTTATTTGAATAGGCAGACCACCTTATTTTCTGTACCGACATTGATGGATTCTACACAGCTTTGGGTTGGGAGCATAACCCACTAGAATGATGTTTCTTTATGGATTCATCAATATTAAGCCTCGAAGCTGTCTTGTTACACAACAGCAATGTACACCCTTCCATACCTAATGGCAATGCTGCACAAATAAAGGAAACATATGAAAACATGGAACTGTTGTTGAAGCACATCCAGTATACCGAGTATATATATCTGTGCAGATCTAAAAGTAGTGGCCCTGCTGCTTGGAATGCTTGGAATATACCAAGTACTATTGATTAATCTGCGAAAGGGACATCTGTGCAAAAAAGTTGCATTACATTAAAAAGGAATGGTCACTCACCTGGAAGAATGAGCTTCCAGGAAAGGAAAATGTGGCACATAAACTACTTGTTTACAGATGTGTTAGTGGGGCCAGATAAAATCACCTGGAAAGCATTCAAGGATGTCCTTGAGAATTTTCTTGGCAACTACAGAGCCCCAAACTACATTCAACTGGTTGACAAACTTATTACAGCATACATAACCATGAAGTGCAGCATGTCACCGAAGATCCACTTTCTGCATTCCAACTTGGACTTTTGTCCTGAAAATCTAGGTGCAGTCAGTGAGCAACATGGTGTGAACAGTTTCACAAGGACATTGCCACAATGGAACAATGATATTGGGGCAATTGGAATTCATCAATGCTGGCTGAGTATTGTTGTGTTAATTATTACATGTAGAAAAAGAGTATAGACATTGAGGCCCCGATCACATCGGGGCGGTTCAGGCGCACGGATCCGCCGGCATGAATGATCCCATACATTGCTATGGGGACCGTTCATGGGACCGTGCAATCCGAACCGCCCAAACTGCTGCCTGCACTATTTTTGCTGTGCTGATCAGTGCGGTTTCCATACAGCTTTCAAAGGAACCACGCTAATCAGCGTGGTTTTGGGCCTTTTTAATTGTGTATCAGCGCTGAAACGCAATTAAAAACTCCCAAAACCTCCCTTTTGAAATCAGTGTGGTGACCGCGCTGATCTGCAACCGCCCTGGTGTGAATGGGCTCAAACTGTGCAAGCTGCAAACAAAACCATTGACAATGACACAAAACATTTTGTACATTTATCAATAAAATAAACACTTTTGAAGGTTAATTTTATTTAAAAAATAGATGTGTGAGCAAGAAACACAGATTACAGTAAAAATAGTGACAGCAAAGCAGTGCAATACTTTGCCTTTCATTACAATCTAGATTTTAATCATATGAATTGCTAAAAAATAATGTGTTCTTAAACAAACAAAACCTACAGCAAGTAAAGGATATTCTATTCTCTTTTTCATTTGCCGATAGCTGTCACTGTGCTGCAAAGCTTTCTTCAGGAATAGAAACTCCATACTCAGAACTACGTTACATACTACCTTCGTAAGCAGTTTCAGAGCTTAGATTCTGAAAGGGCAATGGGGGAGGGGGTGTGAAACAGTCCTATGATAAAACAACATAAGATTAAATACAAGGTTAGAAAGTAAGCAGCGGATATTGTGCTGTAAAGCATACGTACTTTTCCTTATTTCCTATATCCAACAGCTGCAAAGCAAAATCTCAACTTAAGCTTTAGGCTGCAATATGGCTTACATGACTATTTACTCAAATAGCCATAATGTCCAAAACAAGGCACAACAAAGCTCGCTGGAAATTTGCACATAGAAAGCAGAGTGAGAAAGTTCAGCATCATTTTCAAATAAATGAAAACAAGCAAGTGACTTTCTGGTGTGCAAAAGAAACAGGGAAACTGTACAGAAAGGCAACGCACTTACAGTTTTGTGCATATTGGACATCAACGGTAAAGCTGGGTAGATTCCAAAGCAAAGCTGAGGCAAGAGAGACATCAGACGGTTTCTCTGCACTGGTTGCATAGCATACAAGATCATGTTTTCATTACAAAAGCCTTTCCTGGGCTGAAAGCCAAGTGCACAGGAGGACTCATATGCAGCCCATAGATAGCTTACAACATTCCAATTTCTGCCAATATTTAGCGCTTACAACTGCGATATGTATCCAACATCAAGTCCCTCAGCTCAAATTATGAGGATAAATATGCACAAAAGTAAAACAAAAACAAAAACACAACAACAAAAAAACTGATTTTAAATATCTTAAAACCACAACTTACTCAAATCATAAATAAAGCATTTTAAAATACAAATATCTTAACCACTTGCTGCGGGTGGCCGTATAAATACGGACGGCCGCTGAAGTGTTTATACCAAGAACACAGCTTCTGCTGCAGCCGTGTTCTTGGTTTCATTTTAAACAACAGACGATTGCTGTTTCTGTACAAGTGATCTGGCGTCTGTACAGGTGCGGAATCTTTTGTACGGTACGGTGCTGTGTCCTCCCCCCCACCCCGCGCAGGCCTGGAACAGCAGGTCTCCCCGCATCGATTGGAGAGAGATCAGTAGGCTTCTAGCCGCTGATCTCTCCTCCAATCACTGGACCCGGAAGTGATGTGTATTACATCACATCCGGAGTCACTGTTTACGTTCTCCGGCTCTTAGAGCCAGGAGATGAAGCTGGGGAAGCAGCCTTCTTCATCAGCCCCTTTGGGGTCCCTAGTTGACATTAGGGGTCCGAAAGACCCCTGACGTCTTCATAAAAAGGACCTGTCACACCCTATTTGCTATAATTACATAGGGGGCTTGTTAGCCCCCTATGTGATCGCAATAAAGTTAGTGTAAAAAAAAAGAAGAAAGAAAAAAAAACGATCGCAAGGAAAGGTTTCATCTGCTCGATTGAGCAGATTCAACCTTTCTGGTAAAAAGTAATTCTCTCCCGGGCGGCCGGGAGAGTTAGGATGTGTACTCACCGGTCCATCGGGTAACGAATGGAAGGGGGAGGAGTCACGCGGACATCGACGCCACCGGATTCCTCCCCCCCTCCCTTCGTTAGCCGACAGAGCCACTTGTGGAAGGGGGAAGGAGTCCGGTGACGTCGCGGACATCGACAGAAGACCCGGAAGCCGGCGGAGAGGTGAGTACAGATCAAAAGAACTTTGATCGATCAAAATAATTAACGATTAATCGAGGGATTAATCGTTAATTTCAGCAGCCCTAAAAAACAATTGAAGTAACATTTAAAAAAAAATAAGTTAAAAAAAATGCAAAACATTTTTTTATAAAGTCCCCCACCCCCACGTGCATGCACATGAATACGCAAATATGCATTGGTGACAAGGGAGAATGGAGCCGGCTTCCTGGGCCAATCAGAAAGCTGGGCGCTGTGTAATTAACCGCCTCCTTGCTTCCCGTTTAGCCAGGCTTCATGCTTCCTCGTCACCCGGTGACAAGGGAGCATAGAGACGGCTTCTCGGCTAATCGGGAAGCCAGGCAGCAGGTCATTACACGCCGCCCGGCTTCCCAGCTAGTCAGGAAGCTGGGCGGTGAGTCATTACATGCCGCCTGGCTTCCTTAAGGGGACTTCCGGTATTGTTTTTTTAGTATCGGTGAGTACTCGATACTGAAAAACCCGTATCGGTGCATCCCTACTAAGCATACAATTCTCAGCCTGCAAAAAGCTTAGGGTATGATTTCAAAATGGAGTGTACTTGCTTGGTGACATTGCACCTTGATGTAATGGATCCCTTTCTATGCAGTACAGCTTTGAACCAAAAAAAAAAAAAAAGTGATGTGATCATTCAGAAAAGAATAATCACATTTGCTTTTATATGGGGAAAAGCTTGCGCATATGAACAATCGGTATAAATCACCATAAAATACACAGAGTGCACTTTTCTGATTTAATTACAAAAAGGCAAATCAATTTATGTAACCAATACTACAGATTTCTACAACTTTAATATAGAAGAAAAGGGGGATTTCTATTTAAAAAGGACAACGTTGTACATAACACTCAAGCATACTCATTCATGCTATGGGCCCCACACATTCTACAATCTACTATTGTACTACTACTATTGTACTATTGTAGAATGTGTGGGGCCCATAGCATGAATGAGTGTATGCTTGAGTGTTATGTACAACGTTGTTCTTTTTAAATAGAAATCCTAAGAAGCACATAGATGGTATTGGAATTTTTTGCATATACATAAAATCTATTTTTTTCTCTACGACTTTAATATGCCTATTGTCCATTGCTCATCAGCTACGCGTTATGGCAAATGATCCGAAATTTCCAATTTCAGATATCTAGTGAACCAGAATGATTTCTTCCATACACACAAAAAAATGAAGCCAGGCAGTTTTCCTGCTCACTACACCCTCCCAGAGGACAAAAGTTGCAATTACAGCCATAATTATCTTAAAAGGAGAACTATGGGGTCAGTGTTTTTCCCCATAGCTCTCCTTAGGGTAACGGGAGACAGCAAAATAGCTTTTATCTGCAAATTATTTTCCAAGAATCCTGTAGGAAAGCCACATAACAGCAGATGTCCCCATCCATAGATGTGAAGATGCTGAACTGAGCTCTAGGACAGTTGAGGCCATCTCATTAGCAGGATTTAAGATTCTTGAACTGAGAAGGTCAGAAGAGTTGAAATTCAAGCACTCTTAAGGAGCACTGTTGATTGGCTAGGAGGCCTGCTTCAAGCTGCCTATCATGAACCTGAGAGGCGGGGTATGACCCACCGCCAGGCTTCCTGATTGGACGGGAAGCTGGCTTCATGCTCCCTTGCGGCACTGCCGGCCAGAGGGAATCTCTCTCTGACCAGCAGTTCCGGTATCAGGGTAAATATCATAGCATTTGGGCGAGTACAAGTACTTGTCCAAATGCTTAGCATCGGCACCAATACCGATATCAGTATCGGTGCATCCGTACTTAAAACCCCCAAACATTATTTATTTTCTGAAAGCAAAGACCCTATGAAATAAAAATGGTTGCCGTTGCAACTTTTTACATCGCACGATATTAGATTTAGTCGACGAAATTTGCTGGAGATTTAGTCAACTTAAATTAGACTAAAACTATTCAAAAGACTAAAATATGACTAAAACTAAAAATTGTAGTCAAAAGACTAAAACTAAGACCAAATTGAAATTTGACGTCAAAATTTAGACTGGACCAAGTACAAGTTCTGATACTTGTCCAAGTACTCACCGATACCAATTACTGGTACATTTTTGTTTAGTGTCATGTGACAGTTTTTAAAAAACAATACAGACAAATGATTTCAGGAGAGTGGTGGAGCGCCAGGGCCCTGTTACAGCTGCAACCGATTCAACTCTGGTATTTCTCGTGAAAACGCCAAGTATCGGGATTGGTATCTGAATATCCCTACAGCTAGAGTAATCAAAGCAAAGCTGTGCTCTGCTCACCATTTAGGACAAAGCAACCGGTTTACTTAAATTTTCCACCCACACACATCTGTGCATCCCTAATTTACATGATTATTTAAGAGGGTGTGTTTAGGGGCGGAGTTAAGGCGGGGGCAGGGTAGGGGTTAGGTGGGCAACTGGTGGCGAGTAACTCTTAAGGCCTGGCTAGTAGCTCGGGACTTGAAATGTTGACCCCTGCTGTAGAGTAAACCTGAAGTACAGTGCAAGTATGAACGATTTCTTTCTGAATGATTGCATATATGCACTTAGACTCTGACAGACAGATTGGTAATGCTTGGCCTGCAGTACCTTGGCCTGTGAACACAAGGATACCAGTGTTCTACAAACCTAATTGGTCTCATGTATTTAATCAATGGCGGTATGAAAAACAATAGCCCTAGCTAAGCGTTCCCTGTATCCCAAAGCTAGATTTTAAAGCAACTGTATCTCTTGCCAATATCTTCTTGCCATTCTCGATTCCAGTTTCGGAGTTTACACCCTGGAATACAGATACATCATAAATTGGGATTTGTACATACATTAGTTCACAGGTCCCAAACATCAAAATAAACTGAGATTCTCAGCTTTTAGATTACACATACTACATTGTTAGGGATGCCACTGGTACATGAAATATTTTAAAAACGTACCCAGGACTTCTGAATAATTTAGCAACTAACTGGAGCATTTGACATTTCTTAAAACAAGGAGCGTTCGCTGTCATTGAGGGATCACACCACAGCGCATTTGTTAATCCCTTCGTGACTGACGACGTACAGTGTACATCGCCAGCATCGGGGCTGTTTAAACAGACTCCCGGTGACTTTTGCCGCCGGGACTCTGTTTAAACTTGTAGAGCCGACTTACCTGTCGCCAGATCGCTTCTGCGTTTAATAAGGAGTTGCGCTAATATTGCGCAACATAAAAATTTGCAACTACCACCATTTTATTCTATAGGGTCTTGGCATTCAGAAAATATATAATGTTGGGGGGTTTTAAGTAATTTTCAGGCCTAAAATGTGGAATATAATATGGGTACAAAAAATGAAAAAAAGGCCTCAGTCATGAAGGGGTTAACACTTGCATATTACACACTCTCTGGCATGAGATTTTACAGTGTTAAAGCGTGACAGTACGTTTTTTTGCTCTTTTTATTTTTACCGCTATCCTTCCAATGGCTGCACTACATTAAAATAAAATCTGTCCTCCGTTTCAGCACACACCAGCGTAAGCTAGCACCATTGAAAATAAAGATTTTTTTCTTTGACCTTGCATTGTGACTTCATAGAGCCACCGCGTGAACGAGCCCTATATACAAATCAATTACCATATGTCAATCATGCGCAATTGGGCAGCACCTGGTGTGTGGCCCAGGTTCTGACATCCTAATAACCTTTCTGACCACTACACTACTTATCTAGAACACAACATGGATTAGAATTGCTCAGCTATTAAATAAAAATGAGTAACCACACATACAGTAGGTCAAATTTGTATTTGAAGTCTGACATTTGACTGTTATAGGTAACGTATGCTGTTGGGTGTTTTCCAAGTCCAGTACT